TTAAATCGTCTCATGCTTCATAAATAGATTCCCCTTCAAACTGATTAAAAGATGTAATATCATTTCTAAGCTTCGCAGTTTTTTATGGTAGAAAATATTTAGCAAAGAATTTTTGTGCTAAATCACCCCAAGTTTTGATAGATCCATGTGCTAACGAATTTAACCACATCTTACCTTTATCCCTCAGTGAGAAAGGAAATAACTAAGTCTTATGGAATCATCTGATACACCATCAAATTTAAATCTAGCGTATAATTCTTGAAAATTGGCAAGATGTAAATTTGGATCTTCAGTTGGTGATCTCCCAAACTGATTATTTGATATCATTTGGATAATAGCAGGTTTAAGCTCAAATGAATTAGCCACTACAGTAGGTTTTTGAATACTACAATGAAGTTCATCTACCATAGGGTTGGCATAATCTCGTAAAGGTCAAAACTCTTGATGAATTTCAGCATTTTGTTTGTTTTGGTTTGCAATTTCTGTAATTTTTTTAGATTTTTCAAGATTTTTTATTTTTTTTATTTTTCTGATTTTCTTAACAGTTATTTCTAATTCGGAATCATTGGGCACTAGTCCTTCAGAACCTGAACTACGCATACACTTAACATAAAATAAAAAAAAAATAAAGCACACAAAATAAAATACAATAATTATTAGAGTTTAAGTAAGACTTTCTAAAAATAGAAATTTGCTTTTAAATCAATTAATTTCTCCCCGGCAACGGCGCCAAAAACTTGATCCCGAAACTGCTTATATGCAAGTACAACAATAATTCAGATTATATTTCACTTATATTTCCTTACTTTACAACAAAACCAAAAACTTGATCCTGAATAAAAATAAGAATTTAACTTTTAATTTATATATATTGGGATACTACCCAAGTATACATATCGTTATCAAGTACTATAGAACTTTTTAATTAAGATCTGAATATCGAACCTACGGGGAGAATACATAATATGCACTTTTGAACGACAACTTTCTATTCTAAAAATACAATTACTTAAACTACAAATATTTTTATAGTATTTAAAATTCAATTCTTTTTAGTATTTTTGATATATTGACATAACCGTAATAATTTAAAAAGATAACTTGAGTTTATGTAAAAGAAAAGTACTAAATTTGAAAAATAATTTTCTCCTTATCATGAATCAGTAATAGGTATAGGAATTCTGTTGTGGATGTATACAGATTGTGTTGTGTCAAATAAGAGTAATTATTTTATTTACTCTTACTAGAGATGCTATAAAGAATAATGACTAATTTAAAGTTTGAATAGTTCTGAAGACCAGCTAGGCAGGAAAGATACTAGCTCTCACTCTAGAGTTCCCTTGATTCCCTCCACCTGGGGGCTAACATCTAGTATCAGAACCTAAAATAATAAACCAAGTTGGGGGTTTTAACCTGTCACTTTAAAGTCCTCTAACTCTACACCCTTCAATGATTATTTTTTTATTTATTTGCACTAAATCATATGAATTATATTCTCATTCATACAAACTCATGTGATTCTTTCCAATTGTTGACTGAGACAATACCAACCCGGTCCTTACAAGTTCTCACAACAATTTTTAACATCTGGATTGGACAAATCAAGAAGTAAATGAAGTTCATGGATTTAAATCATCACAACTTCTTCCAATATTAAAAATTAATACTCTCCACAAATTCCATCCAAACTTCAATTACTTATCATTTTAAGGAGAAAGATAAAGAAAACTACTCAAAATCCATGGAAAAAACAAAAACACACTTTAGTTTAAAAGTAGAAATTATTTTCAAACCAACAAGAAGTCTTGGTTAAATCCAAAAGTAGTTTAAAACAAAAGATAAAAACTTATCTCAAATCCTTCACCAAATTCTTGAAGTTTCTTTGAGTCTCTTCTCTTTTACAACACTCTCAACTCTAAAAATAAAACTAAAAACAAAAGGAAAAAGTAAAATTTGTGGTGTCTTAATCTCTCCACAAGATTTTCCATGATCTTCTTCTCAAGACTCCAGCACTCTCTCCCTCTTCAAGCACCCACTTCAAATGTAAAAACTTCCTTCTTTTATAAATCTCCAAAATGTGTCTTGAAAACTCTTCAAAATGTGTCCACATTCGATGAATCCTCCAAAGGATGCCTCCTTTTACAAGTCTTTTAATAATATTTTCGTTCTTAGTGGTCATAACCACCCTCTTAAGCCAATAGGTGCCTCAAATATCTCTTCAAAATTTTTCCAAATGAAGAAAACCACCAAATAACTGCCTTTGGAGCTTAGGCGCGACCTTCTCTGTTTAACCGGCGCTTAGGCGCCAAAACTCTTTAGCACAATTTTCATCTCTTTGCTCCAAATTTGAACCTTTTTCACTCCTTTTAGCATTTTTCACATTTTTACTTGTACCTGAAAGAAAAACACACAAATACATTCCAATAAAACAAAATATCTCAAAAATAGGTATATAAATGTGTCTAAAAACACTATATATTTTATGTGTATCAGTCATCTAGTTCAAGTAGCATAATCAGCTGTCAACGACTCCGGGCGATGGAGAACATGAATGTTTTTCTTAGATACTAATATTACTGATTTATGTTATTTATTTATTTAATAGAAAACTAATCATATGTTATTTTCATATTTTTCTCCCCCAACAAAGGCCATTCGTTTCATTAGGGACATTGTTTGGAGCAAGTATGATCATTAGTACTTATCCTGGAGGGAGATCCCGATGACAGTTCGATACATATGGTTTTGTGAGTTTGTGGTATACCCTGAACACATTAAACTTCAACTATGTGTTTATGTATTTGAGTCTAACATTCTTTAATTCAATTTACAAAAATAGTGGTTTTGGCCCCCTGAGGAGGAGGCACACATCCCGGAGGCACTTTGAGCACATGGCAAGCGACCGTGTTCGCGATCAATTTGACGATATACGGAAGATGTGTGAGCGCCCCTTCTGGCTCGGCAAAGATGTGTTTGCCGCCCTGCTTAAGGCCTCGAACTCTCCCGCTTATCCTAATAAGAGAGAGCGGGTCAATCACCGCTCTAACTATGGAGGCATGGGGGCTTCAAAACATACTGGTGGATACTGATAAAACTTATTTTATGCATTAAATCTCATTTTACATTAAATATATATTAATTTTTTCATTATACAGATAAATTATAGTGAAAGAATGGGAGTCATCCATTGTAGAGCTACACGTGCGCACTCACATGCGGGAGTTGGATCAATCCTAGGTAGATGTACAATAGATCCCAGGGGACCAAGGTAATTCAAAAGACTAATTAGTATACAATTATAATAACCGCTAAAGTTTATTTTGTCTCTAACTTTCATTAATTATATTTTTTGTAGGAGACATTGTAGAGACTCAAGGAGAGCTGAGCCCAACAGTCAAGCTGTGTTTTGACCATATCTCACGATCCTTCTGATTACGACCTGTGGAAGGAGGTTGTTGGGGCCAATAAGCGTGGTAGGGTCTTCGGGTCAGGGTCTCAGGAGCTGACCTATGATGCCTATCCGACCTCTAGTACATCTGGTACATTGCCTTCTACTATAAAGGAGGAGGAGATTCGTCGTCAGGTTGTTGTCGAGGATGTTGCCCAGGTCTCCACCCAACTAGCCACCCTAAGATTGGAGATGAAGCCGAATATGAAGTCGGAGATCGAAGCAATGTTGTGTTATGAATGGTAGAGATCAAAACAAACAGTGTAGGATAATGATAAGGAGAAGATAGTTTTTTTTTTGTTTGTTTATTTATGTTAAACAATTTATTGGTCGTGAAAAATATTTTTACTGTGTAGTTTTTCATTTCGTTTGGTTTAAAGCAATCACTTATCTTTTATTTTTGTCTATGATTTATGCGTTCATTACTAATATGATATTAGTTTAATAATTGTTTCGATTAGTATAATATGTTGTGTTGTGTGAAAATTATAGTCTTATAATTGTAGGTGTGTAAAATTATAGTGTTGAATAATGAGTTTTTTTTTTTTTCTAATACTATAGGTTTTTGATGTTTTACTGATGACATTACGATCTTTTGGATGTGTTCCGATAGTTGTTTGACAGACTATCAAACAATTGACGTCTTCCTAAGACATTGAACTTTTCCGATAGATATTGTCTTTGATGATTATCTACGGTCAATTCACGATTGTGAGACAATTTTTCGGCGGAAGCATGACACTATACCGGCAGAAGTGCAACTTTTTTCCAACGGCTAAGTACATTGTTGATATCACCGATAATATAACTTGTTGTGGAATCGAACCAACAACGACAGACAATATTCATCTAATAATTTTCGATGTTAAAATACCGTCGGCAACATTGTAGATGATTAAATTACCGACAAGCATTTTTACTACGTCGAATAAACCGCATGTAAATTAATTACCGAAGGTTTTAATATTGTTACCTAAGATATTTGACCTTCGGTAATAAGCTAAACTCCTGTAATCTTGTCAAGAATATTAACTTCTTCTATTTGATATAAATTATGATTTTTGTTATTATTAACGAAGCATTCAATCTTAGTTTTTTAACCATAATACCTATTCTTATTTCTAAAAACATAAACTTCTAATCAAATTTTTGGGATTAAAAAACTATCTGTTCTTCATCTAATCAAACCCTTCCAATTCATGGGAAAAAATGGGGTGGATTTTTGTACATACCACATAATTCTTATTTCTTTATATACATCAAATATTTGAACTTTCATACCATAACAAAAATCTAAATAGCTGAACCAAATCCAAAGTCTCCTCCACATCAACAAGAATGCAACAACCGAACACCCAACAGAAATCACAGCCGTCCATCCATCATCAGACGGCCAACAACCCAAACCAAGGTCCCATCATGCAACCATCCCCTTACACCTCCACCCCCAAATTACAAGCAAGCTTTTTCAAACCATCATGCCTCCTTTTCTTGTCCAAACATCACACTTCAGCTCAAACTTTTACACTACAAAACTCCATGAAATTAAAAGCATGCATTCACTTCAGCGCCAATCTACCCCTTCTGCCATTATTGTGATCACACATCTTCTGCTCTCTTTCTCTGACTCACCCATATTCATTTTCTCCAACGTGATTCTGTTCTCTTTTCTTTTCTCTGTTTCTCTCTGTCTCTGTTTCTGGTTTTAAATGGTGAGTGAAAGAGAAACATAGGAGAAGGTTGAAGGGATGATGGAGAGAGGAGGAGGAGATGACTATGTGGTTCTGGAGCAGATTGGGAGAGGTGCTTTTGGCTCAGCTTTTCTGGTCTCTCATAAGACTGAGAAGAAGAAGTAAGTTTTCCATTAATGTATCTCCTTGTCTGGATTGATAATATTGTGATGATATTATAATAGTATTATGATGAATAACATCTTAATATCATCTCAATATCATCAAATCTGCACGTACCCGCACCTACTTGTCAGGAAGTAATATTACATCACAATGAAGAGAGAAATGACTTTGTTTTGGAAAAAATAAATATTACATACGATTAACCATATGTAATGGGCTTATATTATACCTTTATCGTTTGATATACGCATGATATTTGTTTGTTTTGGAAGCAGGTACGTAATGAAGAGGATAAGGCTGTCGAAGCAGACGGAGAAGTTCCAACGCACTGCTCACCAAGAGGTTCTAGTTCTTGAAAAAATATTCCTTCCGAACGGCAAACCACGAGACACCACTTGACCCGCCCATAAGGTGTATGGCGATGTGGTGCCAGGTGGTTGGCCGTCGGGAGGTACGATTTTATTTTCTCCTAATTTTTAAGCTTAATGATTATTTTTATATGTTAAAATTTTGGGTTAATTTATAAAATTATTTAAATAAAATGCCATATAATGATTTTAATCATGGGTTCATTATTTCCATTGCTTTACAATCGCTTGATCACCAAAATAAATAATGTTAATATATTATTATTATTATTTAATACTTTTGTGGTATATAATTAATTTATTTTTTAACATCGTTATTACTTCTAGTTCACAATCGCTGTTCAAACTTCACTTTATCTTCACGTTCAAGAGTTCTGATGAAAAAATGTATTAGGATTTCAATCACTGTCTGTCACATATCTGTCACAGATATAGTTCAGACTCATCGTGTATTAAATTATTTAGTTTTTTAACTAAGGATGCAGGACTGTACACGTGGCAGATAATGAATGGAGTCGTGATATATTTTTGCATCGAGACTGTATTTTTGCATCAGGACTCTTGATGTAATATTTTCTCCAAATTAAAAAAATGCTTGTTTATCTCTATTTAAATTGTTATTTTACATAAAATTTTCTTCTAACAAAACTGTCATCGAGAAATTATTTTTTTTTTTAGTCTACAATTTTATTTTACAATTGACTTTATAAAGATTTACATACATACCACTCAATTCTTATGTATTTGAAACCTAATATAGGGATAGTTACATTGTAAATTACAAAATCTAAGATCAGAAGATGTTTTTGAGCTAAATGAAATGGTAAATTTACATGCATAACACTCAATTCTTATGCATGTACTTGTCTAGGCATTGTTTTGGATGTAAAAATCAAAGTCTAGGTGTGAGATGAGCAAATGCGTAAGAATTGGGTACTATGTATGTGTTGAATTTAAATATGTCCGAGAGGCCTGCTTAAGCAATAGAGCGTTGAAGAATGAGAGAGAGAGAGAGAGAGAGAGGTGAAAAATAGAGCAATAGCACAATAAAGAATAGTAAATTTGTGTTCCTTTTATTCATGAAATGGACCGTCTATTTATAGGAATTGGTCATTGTACATGTGCATATTGTACCCCTAGAATATGTAGGTACGGCGGGGATATATTAGTTTGTACAAAAATTTAGCCTGTGGGGCCCATGGATGAGGCCGGATGGCTGTGAAGTCGGGCTGCTGCGAAACAATCGTTAGGTTGGGTGGCCGTTTTGTCAGGTAATTATTGTTGAGGATCCACGTCAACCGTTCTGGAATTGAAAGATTTGTTCCATTCTCTCAGTCTATTCGGATTGAAAGGTGACTTGTTCTTTCGCATGGATTGGTTTTTGACGGACTCTTAGGGGGTGATCTACCCTTTAACCACATGAGGCGCACCATCTGCCTGTTACTCGTAGGCTGCCAGCTGAGCGTACGGTCCTGGATCGTCCTGGGTATGCCCCAGTGGAGCCACACCACATCTTTTGCTGTCCGCGATTTGTCTTTGTGATTAGTGTTGAACTAATCCCGATGTACATAGTAAAGCAAGGCCGGAGATGATCGGTTGAATTTGAGAAAAAGGCCAAACATAATTATCTTATCGACATTCGTTGATGTCAATTCAGTAATGGTCAGCGGACTGGGAGGTCGGGCTCCAGCTAATTCCATGAATGATCATAGGCATTCATAGTTTTCATCATGAAAGTTGTTTGCTATTGGTTGGTCAAGAGGGTTCATGGTCGGTCGGTCTGATGGTAGTCAGCCTTGAGTTCTGAAACTGTTAATTATAGCGTTTGATTTAATCTGTCCTGCTACTTTGAGAACCATTTGGAACATTTTTTCGTGTATTGTATGTAAATTCTCCAAATGTAAAATACAAATAGGGGTTTATCAGAAATTTTGATTTGAGTGAAAATTTGAAGAATGTACGAAAAAGGGTGCCCGATTTGTAAATAGCAATGTTTCGGGTGCCATATATGTAAGCAGCCCTTGAATATAACTTAAAATCACTATATCTTGAATGTGATATGAAAAAATTAGGCTGAATACATGTAAAATGTAAAATATTAGTTTAAGTATTAGATATTTAAATATATAAGAGTTTGGTGGTATGTATGAACATACACCTTGATTTTAATGTCCTTCATAAGTAATTGAATTCATATAGGAATTGTTGGCATAATTTTTTCTCTCAATATTTAAAAAACAACAAATTAAAAAAATATTATTATATCTTTATTAAAAATAACTTAGAATAAAAAAGTTTATTTTGATTTCAATTCTTCCCTTAAAAAAAAGGAGAAATTTAAGCTTTGTTCGAAGTAGCATTCTTGTTTAGCAAATTCACATTAAGAGTCATATTTGTAGAACGGAAGGCTAATTGCTATCTGAAATGGCGAAAACTTATCGTTCTTGCCATACAACTTCCGCAAACATTCTGAAGATACTCCTTTCACCAAACGAAAATTTTATGGCATTCACTACAACCGAATGGAACTTCACCGCATTATCAAATGAAGTCTTAAAGTCATCTCGTTTTATGTTATCATTTTTCATATTCTCTATTTCATATCTTTCTAACTTTATCAACTCATTCTTCGACAGATGGCTCTGATGGCGAGCCTTACTAATCCATACATTGTGGAGTACAAAGACGGTTGGGTGGAGGAGGTATTTTAATTGATTTTTTTTTTAATTTTCTCTTAAACTCATTGAATTATTAATCTATTTATGATTTCACAACTTGATGGTTTCACTCAATTTGTTCCTCCATTACTCCATTATACTTTCTAATAAAAAGACTTTATGAAGAAAATAAAAGAAGTTATCCATAAAGAAAAACTCAATATTAGTTATACTAGTTAGATTTATATAATAGCGGAAAACTTTTTCACACTAAGTGATCAGGTCGGCTACATGAATCGCTTTTCTCTTGTGTTAAAGTTGTCTTTTTAGGTCTACAAATACATTTCTTATCATAAGTCGAATCTAAAACACATACTCTTCTCACTGGATCATTCGATGGTCCACGTTTAATATGACCAAACCATTTTAGATGACTCTCTCTAATCCTGTCTACTGTTGGAGCTACACCAACTCTTTCGCGGATACATTCATTTCACACTTTGTCTCTAAGAGTGAAGCCACAAATCCACCAATTTGATTTATAAAAGAACAAAGTTTTTTCTCCATGAAATTTATCTTAAAATTAATAAGAAAATCATAGAATTATTCTTTTAAGATATTTCTCTAATAAAAGCTCCCCAATGAAATTTTCTCAATTTTTTTTAATTTTCCTTCAAATTACAATGATAACTGAGCTCTTCTTTATCTCTCTAGCAGGGCTGCTATGTGTGCATTGTGACTACTTACTGTGAGGGAGGTGATATGTATGTGATGAGAATAGAACAACCCTTTATTTTAGCGAGAAATATTAGGTGTCACCTAAGGCCAACCAATCAGAGGAGAGGGAGTCACTCTCCTTTGATTGGATGGCCGCAGGTGGCACCTAATATTTCTCCTTATTTTAGCTATGTACTCTCTTATCACTGCATTTAGGAATTTGATGCAGGGCTGCTAAGATAAAGAAGGCAAGAGGATCTCTCTTTTCAGAAGAGGTGAGTAGGGATAAAATCAAAATTTTGCGATAATAACACCACTCGAAATATTGATATTTACAAATTAATCATTCAAATGATTTTTATGAACTACCGAACTGATGTATTTACATGTGTCATAATCAAATTTATTAAAAATTTAATAAAAATGAAAAATATGATAATTTGAAAAATGGATGAAAGGGGACGGTTGATTTGGGTGGTCTGCACTAAAATTTTTTCCTTTTTTATTTTTATGTTGTATTAAAATTGCAGAGAATATGCAAATGGCTGACACAACTACTTCTATCCATTGATTATTTGCATTCTAACCGTGTTCTACATAGAGATCTGAAGGTAAATAATTGCAATTTTATCTCCTTTTTATGGCCCTTTTGATAACTTCCATAAGAAAAAAAATACATTTTGTTTCATTGTAATATATTGAAAGTAGTCTACAACCTTTTTCAGCATAGCCTTAATTCCTTTAAAACATAGAGAACTGAAGGTAAATAATTGCAATTTTATCTCATTTTAATGGCCCTTTTGATAACTTTCATAAGAAAAAAAAATACATTTTGTTTCATTGTAATATATTGAAAGTAGTCTATAACCTTTTTCAGCATAGCCTTAAGGGAGTTATGAGCCAAATGAGGGGAAAACTCTTTTTTTTCGTATGAAAAAAAAATGAGAAGAATGTTCCTTTTAGGTAGATTTTGCTCTCTTTATAAAAAAAAATATCTCGTGTGAATAACTAACCTGTGGATTGATAGTATTGTGATAGTATGACAGTGAATATCACCGCAATACCACCATAATATCACCAAATCTGCACCTATTCACACGTAATATTTTTTTCCAATCTATGGAGAATCTTTTTATACATTACAAAATAACTACACAGCCATACTCTAAAGATTTTTTATCTATCCCTATTTAGCTTATTCTGAGTTTCACATTATAATTAACATTATCCCTAGCAGTCTTGTATTTTGATAATTGTCCACATGTTTGTTGTCCCCTCAGTTTTTGAGATAATACGACATCAATCAATTTATCTTTAAAAACGAGTCATCCTTATCGAATGAGCCAATCTCTTGGATTGTGAGGCGAATCAAGTCACCCGGGGAGCACATGAGTGACCTCAGCCAAATTTCACTCTCGTGGTTGATCGAACTATTGAACATAACTCACAGATTAAACTAGTTATGTTATTTTTAAAATAAAATTTCTCTTGACATGTGAAATAATTGCAAATAAATTTCTATTTAATTTCAGTGCTCAAATATATTCCTCACCAAGGATGGTGATGTTCGGTTAGGTGAGTAGCTTTTCAATGTCTTATCTATAAAATGTTTTGTCAGAATTTAGCTTTAGTAAACATTCTAATTTCACAATTTAATGATGGTAGGATATTCTTCCCTCTTTTTATCTTTTAGGTGACTTTGGACTTGCAAAGCTACTTAATTCAGAAGACCTCACCACCTCGGTACATTATTTTTTGAATAGTCTACTTCACTGATAAAGTATGATATAATAAAGAAGATTTAAGTCCAAAACATGCAAAGTAGTTTAGTTTGGTTTGCCACTTTTGTTATATTGTTAATGGCAAAATCTTTTGCTAAGAAGATAAAATCCAAACTATACTATCATGTTGGTTGGTGCTAATAAAATTTTAGTTTTTCTAGGACTTGCAATTGAAGGGAAAATATTTAAGAGATATATATATATATAGTTTTGTTGCATGCACAGAGGTTAATATGAACTAGATGAATTTATTAGTATTTCTTTTCATAGTCTAGAGATTCTCTTCTTTAAGTTAATATTTAGACATGTATTTGGAGATTTTGTTTTAAAAGTTTTTTGTACATTTGGAAAATAGTCTCCAAGTACTTGAATTACATGCAATATTTTCAATTTTAAATCCATTGTCGCCTAAGTTTTAAAGCTTTACGCGAGATCAATAAAAGTTTTTCATGGAAAGGTTTAGTTATGTTTGTTTGCATGTTAGAGAAGAGAGTTCTATGCAATATTCTAACAAGATCAAAGGATTATTTCTTCAAAACAGATAAAACCTCTTTAAAAGAATGTGTATGAAAAAACCTTTTTCTTAATTAAAAGGCAAACTAAATCTTATATTTTCAAGAAGTCACGTTGATGATTGTTTGCTAAGTGTGTGAGCTAAATTAAAAGGCTTTTGAAGGCATCTCAATTTAATATTCATTGATGGGAATGGTCATTCATTGTATGGGGAATCTAACTAATGAACTACTACTTAATGTGTACCAGCAATAATGGTAAGACATTAGCTATATTGTAGTTACACTCAAAATATTGATTTGAAATTCATCACAAGCACCTTCTTGATTGCTCTAAATAATAGATTAGCTCCTTTATGAGTCATCATAGCTTAGTTTGCATCATCCTCCATCAATGTTTAACTAGAATGATGTTCTAAGTATTTCCATGTTTCATGTTTATTGAAAGGGAATGCATAAGAGTGCTAAAGTAATTGTTATGAGGTGCTCACTTATTGTCATATTTGCTAGTCAATAAAAGTAGGGAGGATTCTTACAAATAATGCAAATAATTTTGTTCTTTACATGCTTATATGAATTAGTTGATTTTAATGAGGTATTTCATAAAATTTTAGACGTTCCTAACACTCGGATCTTAGAAGAAGTAAGGATTTTTTGTTAAAAAACCACAAATGATAAGCAAACATACTACATTGCTTAGTAAAAAAGATCTTTCTTTTCAAAAAAAAATAATATTAAGATGGTCTAACGTATAGCACATGAATTGAATCAATATAAGATGGCTCTAAAATGATTAGAAAAGGCAATGTTGAAGGCACCAAAGTGTACCCTATATTAGATTAAAATAAAATAATTGTATAATGATGAGATAGATCAAATTAAAGGTTGTTGACCTTATTTTTGGTTGAGGTTTAGTGCTTCCTCTTTAGTACCCTAAGGTCTAGTCATAGGACTTTCCTGTTGAATATTCCTAGAAAACTAGAAAAGGAACACTCACCATTAGAAATTCTACCCTCTTCTTTACTCAACTTGAAGTTCCACATATTGGTCCTAACCTCTAGCACTTAGAAAGTAGGGTCATTATAGGGGAGCTCAAGGTGAGTTCCCATAGGACTGCTTACCCTTAGGGTTGAATCTGGGTGTTAGTCTAGGGCTAAGGCACTCACTTGCACTCACAATCACTCACAATCACTCACAACCCTAAACCCAAATTTTTCTGATTTTGGTCCCTTGATCCTTTGGGAGACTCATGTAGATGGTCCCCTAAATTCACTAGCCCTAGGCTAGGGTTTAACTAAGACCAGTACATAGAGGACACAAATGGGTTTTCCATTGGTCCATAGCTTATTTATGGTGGTTATCTCCTCAATTCAACCAAAATATCCAACTTGGCATTTTGCCCCAAAATCCCCCAAATTACCTAGATACCCTTGGAGCCCTAAATTTGGCCAAAATTCTCAAATTCACCCAAAATATCCAAATTTATTCAAAAATCACTGCAAACCTTTTAAAAATACCCAAATTCCCAAATTACCCAAAACTACCATACAAATTACCCAAAACTACCATAAAAAATGTCAAATTTACCAAAATTGCCAAAATTACAAAAATACCCTTGGCACCCCAAACTTTCCAAAAACCTTCAAAATCACACCAAATGTCTCCAAAACCCATTTGGACCCCTCAATTGGACCTAATTTGACCAATTTGCTCATTTTGACCAAAACCCCCAAATTGCCTTTAAGGGCCCAATCTCCCCAAATATACCTTAAATGTCCATCAATTTGGTCCCAATCTCCGCCAATTTCAATCCTAAACTCAAATTCACCTTCCATATGATCAATTTAAACCAAATACAAGCTCAATTGGCCCATTCTTTGAGCTCAATTTTGATCTAGGTCAAACCCCCAATTTTGGCTACATAACATAATCCCACCAAATTGAACCCCATAGCCTACTCCATTGGCCTCAATTTGAATCCTAAACTCTTCATAACAATCCTACACATCAAACTTGACCTTCAATCAGCCTTGGTGAATCCTCAATTTCATTTAATTTCAACCAATATCCAAAAATTCCCAAATTTGCCCCAAATTGGTTGTCTCCAAGCTCCACCAAATTGACTGTCTTAGCCCCAAAATTGGCACCCAAGTTATGTTAAAAACTCTTCATAACATTCCTATTGACCATTTTCAACAATAAATTTGGACTTAGCCCAAGCCTAGCCCAATCTAGACCTAAGTTTATCCCAACATGCCCAAAGTGACCAAATTTCCAAAATCCTTCAAATTGAACCCCCAATTAAACTCAAAATCATTTCAATCCTTCACCAAAACTCTTCATTACAATAATCATCTACACAATTATCAATCATTTGGGCTCAAAGTATTTTGATTAATTAATTAGGCTTAAAGTCATGGCTAGCCTAACCCAAGCCCAACCTTTGGTCATTTGGACTCAAATTGAACCTATACACCAAAATTGACCTAACCACCTAATTTGAGACTCCACATCCACTAAGCTCTTCCTTTGGACCAGGCTAAACAACACTAAACCCACTCAAGCATGCTATGGACCAATGGATCCTCAAATTAAGGGATTCATTCCTTTATTTGGGATTTAATAAAAAATCTCCTTCATCATCACTAACCCTTGGGGGTAAATCATAATTAAGCCTCCCCCTAACTAACCTGACTTCCTGACCACCTCCCCTGGCCCTGCCGGCCAGCCTAGTCTGGAAGCCCCAAGGCCAAATCAAACCCAATCTCAACCCCAGAGGCCACCTCACCCTCATTAACCTTTGGAGCTCCTCGGCCTTCCACCTAAGCAAGCCTTTGCACCCAAGGCCAGGCCCTGAGCTCCCCTCTCCGGCCATGGCTATAAAATGGCCCCTTCACGACCAAGAGAGAGGTGCTGAAATTTTCTCAAGGAGACCCCTCTAAATTGCTCCCATAGCCTCTTTGAGACCTCCTCAGTGTAACTCAACCACTTCCTTGCCCTAATTCCCCTTGTCGGAGTTCAATTTCTTAGCTCAAATCCTTTCCGGAGACAGGACAGAACTCTCCACACCTCCACAGTGCACAAAAATCAAATTAAAATCACACACACCTTCATCATAGTGAAAGAAGACAAAGTCTCATCAAACCCCTCTCACAAAGAGCCTCTATGCTAGACTTTGATCAACAACCAAATTTGGCCTTAATCGAATTTGGGTCTAGACCTTTCACCACGACCAGAGGCTCAATCCCTAATCTCCTTAGCCTCCTCCTTGGCCTCCAAGAACGTGTCGAGCACCTCTAATTGAAGCTTCCATTCTCAGAGCAAAGGTATTTAACTTCCCCTCTTCCCGAGCCTATTTTCATTCTCCATTTGATTAGGGTTAGTTTAATGGCATGTTTACCATATGGATGTGTTCATCACACTTAGACGAGTCCATAGAATCAAACTCGAGGTCATTTGGTTAAGAAATGAGTGAGATCTTAGGGTTTTAATGTTAATGGTCACAGTTTCACTCTATTTGGGAACGATGACACGGAGCCGTTGGATCGTGCGTGTATCAAATGGAGGGCTCTGATTGCGCTAGATGGGAGCGTGGTTCATAAAGTCCGGGTCGAGTCAGCAGCTACGTGGAAGGCGGCGTCCAACCAGACACACTTATTTTTGGAGACATCGCGTGATTGCGTGGCGCCGCGCGTTTAAATAGAAAAATAGGGATTTAAATAATTTAGAAAATGCTTTCTACCTTCAAAAATCCATAACTTAGTGTAGAAAAATCACAAAAATAAAATAAAAATATCTTAGTGCTCAGTGAACAGAGGAGAACAATGTGGAAATATTTTGAAGTTTATTTGATTAATATTTTATTTTTAATTAATTAAATACTGATTTAAGTATTTTAAATTTCCATGCATGTAGACATTTCACCATAGCTTGATATTTTGGCATGTCGTTGCCTCTGTCTTGGAGGATATTTTTCAATTTTTTCAAAGTCAAAGAAGACCTCTAGACAGAGATCCATCTTTTTCAAATTTATGCCTATTACTTGCATAAATTAATCATAATAATTTGCATGTTGCTTAGAAAAATCCAAGAAAATTTTGGAAAATCTATTGTGACCAGAGAAACCTTTGGAAAATATTTCATAAGCTAAGTCATTAAGAACACACTTAACTCTCACAAAATCATAAAACACAAAGAAAATTAATTTGGGAAATATAAATATCTAAATGACTTGATTTTAAATCTATATTGTGATTTAAAGTTCAGATAACTCCCCATAAGATTTTCAAAATATTTGGAGCTCATTTGATAGCTCAAATTGATTTTCTAAGTTAAATGTCATTTTGACACTAAAATTATTTTTAATAATTAAAATGTAACTCAAAAAATTATAAAAATTAGTTTTGGGAGTTTAGTTTGATATAATAAAGAAGATTTAAGTCCAAAACAT